CCCAGGCCCATATGGGGTTTGAGTTTTCTCATCTATCCCAAGGTTGCTTACTGTTGTCTGCCTTTATTTTGGTGCCACTTAAAAGAGGATTTTCCTGGTTTACTCCTAGCTTGGGGGGCTGTGTGTGCTACCCCAATCTTCCTAACCCCATCTGTTTGGTCAGCTGCTTCCTCAGTGGGATTTTCTTGTTCAACGAGAGCAGTTCAGCCAATGCAAACTGAAGATCTTGTCATGATGATTTAGTTTTGTCTTCTAAAGTGTCATAAATTGTGCTGTTAGTGAGCAGTATAAAGTCATGGCCTCTGCTCTCTAGGAACTTAAACTTGAAGGCACAGATAAGGTGTGTCCTCACGTAGAAAGGTTAATAGTAGACTTGGAACAATCTTTACTTGCACTGGGTTTTAATCTCTTACCCAGTCTTTCCTGACCTATTTGACCTCAGACCTAGATTTCATTGTATTTAAAAAGCATTGATATAAGTGAGCCCCCACCCCCCCTTTGCTGGAGCACACCCCAAAGCGCTTGAAAGGTCTGGATCGGGTTTCACTGCTTTCACTGCATTTGCCCTTGTTTCCCGAAACTTTTCACTTTCTGGACTGTTTAGGATTAAGTAAAGGACTTCTCCTAATGTGTGTAATATTTCCTTCTTTAGTGGTTATTTTGTTGACACCCATGTGATGAGAGTGAGGATTAGGCTGGTAAAAGGGTGCCCACTTGCCTTTTTCCACAGGCCCCTCTAGGGGGATGTGCATTCTCTGCATGTGCCCACCCCTGAAACTGATCCTGGGGAGTGGAGCTAGGTGGGGTTACCTGTTGTTTCAGGGGTTGCTGAAAATGGAAGATGTGGCTCTGCCTGTGTCCCCTGGACGTTCAGAGGTGGAGTCACCTCAGGTGAAGGTGTGTGGAGATGAAAGGCAGGACGACGGTGGCGCTCTGACCTCCCTGGGTAAGACTGATGGGCACCGATTTCTCCTAAGGTTTCCTGGCTTCCTTTGTGTATTAGAACCTCCAGGCTGTTGGAGCCATGTGTTTGGATTCGGAATCACTGTTTCTAAATCCTGTTACTGACCAGCTCCTTAACCCTTCTGGCTTTGCGTTCTCTTAGGTTAAGTGGGATGAAGCAGACAGGTCAGGTCTGGCTCAGAGCAGATGATCAGTCAGTGTTGAGTCCCTTCTTGTGGCTAGACCTGAGATGGTAGGAGAGCTGAGGGGTCTCTTCAGGAAACAGGCCATGGGACCAGTGTGTGACAGCTGGGAGCCACTTAGAGACCGACGATGGAGCCTGATCTCAGAGATGCGGGTGCAGAGGCTCACAGATGGCCTGGCTTGTCCGAGTTCACATAGCTCATGGTTGGCACAGTGGGGGCTCCGACTCAGATCCCCCAGTGCCGAAGTCAGTTCTGTGTGGGGACCTTGCCTCTGCCTGGGATGAGAGTGGAGGTGACTGTGCTTTTCTGAGGTCCTTTCTCTGATTTGTACAGAACTCTCCGAAGTCCTTTCACCTGCCTTTCTTACGCTTGCCATCTGCCCAGCCCTTTATTATACAGTTCTAGGGGCAAGGCCCTGCCTGTCGATCTCTAGAACTCGGAGCNGAAGTCCTTTCACCTGCCTTTCTTACGCTTGCCATCTGCCCAGCCCTTTACTATACAGTTCTAGGGGCAAGGCCCTGCCTGTCGATCTCTAGAACTTGAGAGATCGAGCACATGCAGAGAATGCACATCTCTCTGCGTGTAGACTCAGCGCAGTCCTCGCCCCTTCCCTGCATGCTCACAGTCTGGCGCCTTCTTCTGATGCATCCNTGTAGACTCAGCGCAGTCCTCGCCCCTTCCCTGCATGCTCACAGTCTGGCCCCTTCTTCTGATGCATCCATTTCCTTTCCAAAGTCTCCTCACTCCCCAGCACGCCTGTTCTCCCTCATTCTTGTACTTAAGCCCCATCCATGGTGTAGATAGACCTCTGTCATTCTTGCCTCCTTGGGACTCAACAGAGCTCTCCTCCACGCCGCAGGGTGTAACAGACAGTTGTTGGCCCTTTGTTCTTTCAGGTGGTGAAATACAGACCAAGATCCAAGAGTTGCCTCTAGCTGAGGAGCACCTGGAACAGGAGCCTGGGCAGATACCGTGCCACCTGGGTGAAGCCATTGCCAAGATAGCTACATGTGCAGGGGCCAGTGAACTGGAGGGCAGATTACAAAGAAAGCAGAAGACCACCGCTGGGAGGAGGCGGCACATTTGCCATGAATGTGGAAAGAGCTTTGCTCAGAGCTCAGGCCTGACTAAGCACAGGAGAATCCATACTGGGGAGAAGCCCTATGAGTGTGAAGACTGCGGCAAGTCCTTCATCGGGAGTTCGGCCCTTGTTATTCACGAGAGAGTCCACACTGGGGAGAAGCCCTATGCCTGTGAAGAATGTAGCAAGGTCTTCAGTCACAGCTCAAACCTTATCAAACACCAGAGAACACACACTGGGGAGAGGCCCTATGAGTGTGATGACTGTGGGAAGACCTTTAGCCAGAGCTGCAGCCTCCTTGAACATCACAGAATCCACACTGGGGAGAAGCCGTACCGGTGCAGCGTGTGTGGCAAAGCCTTTAGGCGGAATTCACATCTCCTGAGACATCAGAGGGTCCATAGAGATAGAAGTGTTCAGGATGCTGAGCATGGAGAGACTTGGGAGAGTCACGGGAAGAGAGAGAGCCAGGAGGGGGATGTTGAGGCTCCCGTGTCTTATAAATGTAATGAGTGTGAGAGAAGTTTCACTAGGAACAGAAGCCTTATTGAACACCAGAAAATCCACACGGGTGAGAAACCCTATGAGTGTGATGCATGTGGAAAGGGCTTCACCCGAACTTCATACCTTGTTCAACATCAGAGAAGCCACGTTGTGAAGAAAATTCTGTCCCGGTGACCCATGGCTTAGGTGCCAAAGTTGGTGCTCCTTCCTCGTTGAATTGAAGCCACCCTGGAGCCCTTGCTGACCACAGAGATTATGGGCTGGGGCTTCATTTGCCACAGGTTATCAGGTGGTGTCGGAGATCTGCCACACTCTAGAAGATGACTGGAAAAACACTTGTTTGAAAAGAGGCTCTGGATTGTTGTCTGGAAGAGGTAGGACCTGAGACGGTTTCTTCCGACCTGTTGAACTTCAGGGGCTTCCAGACTGGCTCCTCCCCCTGAGCCACCACTTTATGACATTCCTGGGTCTGTGGCTCTAATTGAGGGCTGCTGCTCTAGTCATTCGGCCCATATTTAATCCTTCACCAGTGGGTTGGATCACTGACGTGCCCCCATGGTGCTTTGTTAGCACATAGGTGCTACGTGTGAAATGACTTTGTCTGAAACTCTGGAGTTTCTAACTAAGGCCATCAGTGTTTGTGTCTGATTCTCTGATGTTCTAGACTCAGAGGTTGATGTAGTGTATCTGTTGCCAAATACATAGGCTTGTCAGAGTTGGGGTGGAGCTTTCATTAAAAATGCCTTAAACAGCTCTGACTGGTTTGGCTCAGTGGTTAGAATGTAGGCCTGAGGACTGAAGGGTCCTGGATTTAATTCTAGTGAAAGGCATATATCTCAGTTGCAGGCTCAGTCCCTGGCCTTGGCGGGGTGCATGCAGAAGGCAACGAATTGATGTGGTGTCTCTCACATCAATGTTTTTCTCTTTCTCCCTTACACTCTCTGAAAAGCAATGGAAAAAATATCCACAGGTGAGGGGGAAAAAAAAAAGAATGCCTTAAACAATGTCATTAAGACATTGAGACTGCTCCATCCATACAGCTCCATTCTTTAGTCAGTGTCAATTACATTAGTTCACCTTAATTTTAACAGTTAGGGGGAAACTGTTCACATTCAGGTAAATATGAATTTATCAAGTCAGATCAAAATGACTATGAACCTGACAAAATGTCTATGATGCTCAATAACTTCTTCTCAGCTTTTACTTATCTTGGGCATAACCAAGTGTCAAGACACCATCTGCATCCCTCCCAATTTAGAGCCTACGGTGCACCAAGGCATATGTCAGCTGAGTTTAATCTTCCTCCAGGTCAGAGGAGTCACACCAAATATTTATAACCAGTATCATTCCTGTTTTCAAAACTGCCCATGGTTGGGGATGAGATGATGGGGACAGAGGCAGCCAATGAGGACAGACCTGAGTGTGGGCAGGAGAGACACACACAGAGAACCCTGTCTGACCAGAGTGATCCCACCGTGTCCAGTGTCAACATGTGAAGTCAAGACTATGCTGTGAGTTATCCAAAGTAAAAATTTTGTGATATCTTGTTTTCACCCAAATCACCTTCTGTGAGTTCTTCCTCAGTGCCTGAGTGCATATCACCTGGTTCCAGCTGCACCAGGCTGTGCCAAGAATGGATTCAGTTTCGGACGAAACCCTGACCATGTTCTGTTCACTTACCGTCCTGGATTTCTGCTCTGAAGGAGCACAGGTTAACTAGAGACTCTCTAAACCACAGGGCTCTCCCTCTACCAGTCCTACAGCCTGTGCCCTCAGTGTCCCCACTGCAGTCCAACACAAACCTTTAGCTCTCACAACCCTATAGACTTTCTTCACTTAATCATTTCTAGCCTTTTAAAATTTCCTTTTAAATTAACCTTATTTTTGTTACCTCCACAAATTAGTTATTTCCTTTTCTCTTTTCTGTTTTTCCTAAATATTTGCTAATGGCCTTGATCTTAAACACTGTTCATTTTTCTTTGGTGTTTGTTTCTTGTATCATGTGAAGAGATATATGTGAAAGCCTTTTATAAACCAGAAAGGATTATACATGTATAACTTATTGAGATTAACAAAGGACCACTGTGTCTCCTTTTACTCTTTCAGCTCCTTCCAAGCACAAAACACTTCTCTGTAGAGAAGGGGAAAATCGTAGAACAATACTTTTGAGTACAGCTTTCCTGACAATGAAGGGATAAACTGTGCGCATATACACGCACACTTGAGCTCAGGCGTTCAGTTCAATCAAGTTGCTAAGACTTGCATGTAAGTGAGCAGTGCCTGGATATCTTGAGTGGTAAACAAGGCTATGAAGTTAAGAGGAGGGAAAGGTAACTTCCAGCTGAGCTGTTGTTATTCCGTGGACGGGTGACATGTTAGTAGAAAAGACTAAAGGAGTTTCTCAAATTTACTAAATAAGACAGGTTTGAGAGGTAGGTATATTGTAGAACCCTTCAGTGCCAGAGCAAGGACTTTAAATTTTATTCAGTAAGCACCCTGGCATTTTCTGCTAAGAATAGTCAGCATTGTGTGATTTCAGAAAAATGTATTAATTTGCTGCTAGTCTTTTAGATGTGCCACTTGTGTGTAAAACAAAGGTGTGTTTATTTTTATTTTACTTTGTTAATCCTCACCTGAGGATATTTTTTTTTTCCATTGACTATGGGAGGGTGGGGGAGACAGACACACATCAATTGGCTGCCTTCTGCAGGTACCCTGACAGGGGCCAGAGATTGAACCTGCACCCAGATATGTGCCCTTGACTGGGAATCAAACCGGACACCCTTCAGTGCTCAGGCTGACACTCTAAATACTGAGCCACACCTGCTAGGGCAGGTGTGTTAATTAATAAGTTATAAAATGTGTTTAATTCTAGCCTATTTAAAAGGACAGCAAAAAAAATATTTTCAGATGAGATTAGACCCAGTAAAACAAGCTGCTTAGTTGAGATATAAGCAGTCACTTTTCATGCTTTCGAAAACTGTTTCTAGGAACTTAAGTGAAAAAAATAGCAGGAGTGACAACTTAGCTCACAGGGTTGTGAGGATCTGCTTATACAAATAAGAGCTGTGTAAATAACCTGAAAATGTTGATACTGGTAGAGGAATGGATATTACTTTATTAGCCAAAAACTCTATATATTAGAGTGACAATTGTTTAATAATAATAAAGACTACCTTTAAAGTGTCCTGTGTCTGACAATGTTGATCTTATCTTGTAATGATATCTCAAATCATGTGTTGTTCTGTCTCAATTATTCATGAGAACTTTATCCACTAAGTAAACTCAATTTACCTACTTGTTTCTAAACACCCTTTTTTGTCTTGTTTTTACTCATAATAGTCAAACTATCTGAAGAATTCAACTGAGGAAACTTTTCAGTCCACTTTGTAAATGCAGAACCTATTTCATACATTTCAAATGGAGTTGCTACTACAGAAATGTTGCTAGATGACTACTTTCCTGGGAACTTTTGTTGACACTGTACTCACATTTCTCCCTTTGTTTCTGGTCTTAGCAATTCCTCTGTATGGATGTCAATGTAAGACCTTGGGATGTGAACATAGCAACAATTCCTGGTTTCCTTTCTAATGGCTGAACCCTATGACATATTCCTGCCTGTTCTGTGTTTTGTTTATTAGGAAGTGGCTGTCATCTGAAATCCTCTGCACACTTTTCCAAATCTTTGCTTTTATTCCAATTTCTAAAATATACCAAGATTTTCAAAGGTCTAGAAAAAAAGAAATCGGAAAAATCCTAATGTAGTGCACTTACTTGTTTAAAAGTAACAAACCATGTGGTTACTCCTTTTGTGAATCAATTCTTAAACAGTAGCATATAGCATTATTTCCAACCTATCAGAAAAGAACTATAGTTTCAGGTATTAAAGCATTAAAACTTTAACCATTTTCTCCCCTTACATAGCTAATGTTTTCTAATTGCAAGGCTAGTATTTTTCTATATACTTTATATCTAGAACAGGGTTTCTCAACAGGATAATTTTTTTTCTTGTGTCCTGTGCATATAAGATGTTTAGCAGCATCTCTAGCCTCTACCCACTAGATACCAGCCACATCCCAGCCATCCACCACCACCACCTCCAGACAATGCCAAATTTCTCCAGCTGAGAACCACTCTGAACTGACACAGTTCTCAAGCATTTCTGCAACACAGTAATATTTGGTGTTTCCTATTTTCTTTCTTAACAAATTAAGTCTGGCCAAACAAATGGGGAGTTCATACTTCAACTTTTCACACATGCCCTCCGAAAATGGGAATTGAGTTTTTGGCCTTAGTCTTAGGTATAGGTAGTTACTGATGGACTATGGAAATAGGTCTGTGCACAAAGTAGTAAGAAGAGACATATATCCTTATAAACAGCGTAAAAATTTCTGTAGGTAACACCATAAATAACCCACACAATAATTTGACAAACATTTATTAAACGCCTACTGTGCGCTCAGCATTGTACTAGGCACTAGGGGTGCAGAGATACAAATGTAACATTATTATTCCTGCCCTCGAGCTTACAACTTAATTTTGGAAATAAATACAAATGTGAAACTACAATATAGAGTGCTAGAAAATAATTACAAAGCTAAATATTAGTAAGTGCATGGATCACAGTACAACTCAAAGGATGAGTGCTGAGGCAGCACAGAATAAGGGCGGTCTCAGTGTGGGTGAAGTCAGTCAGGGAGGTCTCACTCAGAAGGTATAAAGGAAACCAAACTTTGAAGGGAGTGATGAACATGAGCTGGGGCCAAAGAGCAACCTAAGGGAAAGGAACAGCATGAGAAAGGCACGGCGGCAAGGTGAAGGGCCTGTAAGACAACAGTGAAGGCCACATGAATGTGACCGTGACGCAGGTGGACCCCCTGGAGAGTAAGCGTGGAGGACTGGTAATGGAGAACTTGGGACATCACTGCTCCAACAGAAATTATGTGCTGGGTGTTCTCAAGTGAAAATGGATGCCTACAAGACGGGGCTCTTGGAGAGATTAAAGATGGCAGCGAACTCAGTGGAAGCTACACTGCGGCTTTCCTGGGACCAAACTGGAATGACAACTAAACTATAGAAAAGTCTTCCTGAATCACCAACCGCACCTGAAGACGAGCTGACAGCACCCTCATGACCAGGGAGGAAAAGGGGAGACCACATAGAGATGGATAGGAAGGGCGGAGGCACGAGAAGGCTGGCTGGGCTCCCACAGGCAGCAGCTGAAGGTCCAGAGGGAGATCTCAGCTGTGGGGGGTTCCCACTGAGGACTCTGGGGCCTCAACCCCAGGCTGGGCTCCCCAGCCCAGAGCACCAGACCTGAGACAGGTGCCCACATAACATCTGGCTGTGAAAAGCAGCCGGGTTTCTATCTGCCAGGGAGAGACGCCTGGAAATGCAGGCCCCCTCTTCAAGAGCCAACGCACAAAGTTTTGTATGCAGCCACTCACCTTGGGCTCCAGCAGAGGGAGGGTAGAGTGGACTGGAGCTGTGTGAGGAGAATCTAGGCGGAGGGCACCCCTCTGGATTCCTGTGCAGAGCCATTCCCCCAGACTGCAGAGGCAGACATTTGCCTTCCCAGCAGCTTTTGCCTGAGGGGGAAGCAACTGCCCTACCCTCCTGGAAAACCTCTCCCAGAGGAGTTTCTACAGCCTGAGGCTCATTAAGAGACTGATAATAACCAGCTACCCCTCCCCGTGGAGTTTCTACAGCCTGAGGCTCTTTAAGAGAATCAGATTAATCAGCAAGAAGGCAGAGGCAGACCTCAGAGTGCTTTGTGTCTTTGCCTGATTTACTTCTGGACCCGGGGCCTTGCAAAAGCAGACTTTGGTGTGCATCTTGGTCCTGTCCAAACTCACCCAGCCCCAAAAGAGGGTACTTCAAGCTGTGGGTTGTTGATAGCTCCAAACAGGGTACTCAAGACCACTCACAAACAGCATCTGACATTGGCCTGCACCAGAGACCTTCCAAAAACACAGAGTGCTAGCAGGTCTACCTAATACAGAGAAACAAATCCCAATAGGAGCCAAAATGGGGAGACAAAAAAAACAAGCCCCAAATGAAAGAACAAGAGAATTCTCCAGTAAAAGAGTTAAATGAAAGGGAGATAAGCAACCTATCAGTTATAGAGTTCAGAATACTGATAAGGATGTTCAACAGCATGAAAAAAGATATGGAAACTATGAAGGAAATTAAGAATGACATAGTAGAAGAATACATTGGAAGGAGTAAACACCAGTTTAGAGGAAGCTGAGGATAGGATCAGTGAATTAAAAGACAGGGTAGAAAATTCACTCAATCAGAGAACCAAAAACAAAAAAACAATTAAAAAACAGGAGGAGAGTCTAAGGGAGCTGTGGGACAACATGAAATGTAACAATATTCATATTAAAAGAGTGCCAGAGGAGGTCGAAAGTAATTAGAGAACCTATTTGAAGAAATAATGGCAGAAAACTTCCCTAATCTGGTCAAGGAAAAAGTCACACAAGTTTAGGAGGCACAGACAGTCCCAAGCAAGAAGAATCCAAAAAGGCCCACTCCCAGACACATCATAATTAAAATGCCAAAAATTCAAGACAAAGAGAAGATCTTAAAGGCAACAAGACAAAAGCAATCTATTACCTACAAAGGAGCTCCCAAAAGCCTGTCAGCTGATTTCTCATCAGGACCTCTACAGGCCAGAAGGGAATGATATGAACTATTCAAGGTAATGCAAAACAAGGATCTGAAACCAAGACTACTCTATCCAGCAAGGCTATCATTCAAAATAGATGGTGAAATAAAGAGCTTTCCAGACAAAAAAAAAAGGCTAAAGGAGTTTATCACCACCAAACTGGCACTGCAGGAAATGTTAAAGGGACTGCTGGAATAAGAAGAAATAGAGAGAAACATAGGCATAAAGAATTGAAATGGCAATACAAAAGGACCTATCAATAATAACCTTAAGGACTTTAAGGGAGAAACCAACAGCAATATAGTCATAGTCAGGGACTTAACACCCCACTGACTTCACTGGATAGATCTTCCAGACAAAAAGTCAACACAGAAACAGTGACTAAATGGCACACTAGATCGGATGGATTTAACTGATATTTACTGAACATTTCACCCCAAAGCTGCAGAATATACATTCCTCTCAAGTGCACATGGGTCATGCTCAAAGATAGAACACATGTTAGGACACAAAACAAGTCTCTACAAGTTCAAGAAGAGTGAAACTATATCAAGCATCTTAGATCACAATGGCATGAAATTAGAAATCAACTACAGGTCCGGCCGGCAGTGGCTCAGCGGTTGGGCATTGACCTAGGATCCAGGCGATCGGGGTTTGATTCCCAGTCAGGGCACATGCCTGGTTGGGGCTTGATCAATGACTCTCTCATTATTGATGTTTCTGTCTCTCTCTCTCCCTCTCCTTTCCTCTCTCTGAAATCAATAAAGATATTAAAAAAAAAGAAAAAAGAAATCAACTACAGTAAAAACCACTCAAAACATTCAAACACATGGAGGCTAAATAGCATATCATTAAACAATGAATGGGTAACCAATAAGATCAAGAAATAAATACAAAACTTCCTGGAAACAAATGAAAATGAACACACAACAACCCAAAATCTATGGGACACAGCAAAAGCAGCCCTAAGAGAGAAGTTCATAGCACTACACGCCTACCTCAAAAAACAAGACACATTTTTAGTAAACTATCTAACCCTACAACTTAAAGAATTGGAAAGCTCCCTTGTGAAGCTGTCCGGACCAGAGCTTTTGTTTGCTGGGAGTTTTTTTATTTCTGCTTCTATTTCATCGGTTGTTACTGGCCTATTCAGGTTTTCTGATTCTTCCTGATTCAGTTTTACATGATCTCACTCATATGTGGAATCTAAAAAACAAAATAGACTGAGGAAAAAAAATAGATCCAGAGACCCAGAAGCATGGAGCAGACTGAGGAATCTCAGTGGGAAGGCGGGGGTGGGAGAGTGGGTGGGAGAGATTAATCAAAGAGCTTATATGCATATATGCATAACCCATGGACACAGACGACAGTGTGGTAAAGGCTGCGAGGGGGGCCCGATGCGGGGTTGGAGGGGATCAATGGGAAAAAAAGGGGGGATATCTGTAATACTTTCAACAATAAAGGTAAATTAAAATAAAAAGGTGGGGATCTTGAAGATCAAGGACACTGGAAGGAAAGAATTACAATAAACTGGGCCCCAGGTAATACGGATCTGAATAGAGTGCTACAAGAAATGGCAGAAACGTAAACATCCAACCTTAAGGAGAAAACTAAGAATTGGAACAATTTAGCAAGATTTTGGACATGCAGAGTGGAGACCAGAAAAAGACAACTCCAAGATTGAGATAAGAAACATAAAGGGTAGTGAGTCGTTCAGGGTAAAGAAATTAAGCAATGATGCCTATTTAAAAGGAAAATGGTGTTTGGGGGACAAGAGTGATGAGTTGTTTTCAAATACCAAGACGTAGGGAGATGGTGTGAAATATTAAGTTACTGACAATCAAAATGAACAAACAAGAGTGAGGAGAGAAAAACTAGTGACTATGCTCAGTGGAGAGGAGAAAAAAGACTAATAAAAAACCAGAAATTGGAGAAAGGACCAAAAAGGTTTCCACAAGCCAAAGAAGAACATCCCTGAGACACAGGGTAAATTCAACCGTATGAAATAACAGATCAAGGATAAGAGCTAAGAAAAGGCGTGACATTTATCCACTGGAGATTCTGGGGACACTCCGTGGAGTGCTGAGTACAAGGCCAGCTGAGGAGCTTTAAGAACAGGTGATTCTGTCTGGCCTGTTGCATATTTCTACCTTCTCTGGGGCAGGTGAGGGGAATGTATTTGAGTCTGTAAGTTATTGCTTCATCCTCCCAGTTACTCTTTCAACATTTTTACTTACACATTCTAGTTTTCTAGTACAAAGCATCAAGACTATCAACATTTAAAGATGATGCAATTATAAAGCAAAATGGCATTTTCAACCAGTCTCCCAGGAATTGTAACAGATTTGCCCTATTCTGCACATTTCTGTCCCCAGTACCTCCTGTACAAGGGAGATATGGTTCCTGATCGGCTGGCCAGGTTTGGGTGTTCATTAGAGACACACATCACAGTGGTCAGGAGCACAGGTGTGAGAACTGGAATGTGTAGGTTAGAATCTCTGCTCTACCACTTGCCAGCTATGTGATCTTGGTCAACCCATTTCACTCTCTAAGCCTCAGTCTTCTCATCTGTGAAATGGGGACATTATTCTATCACAGCATAAGAAATGCTTAACATAGGGTCTGGCACATAGTAAGTGCTCAATAAATGTCAGTTACTCCTATCTAGAGCCTCAGGACCAAGAGTGAAGCCCATAGCTCCCCTGCGAGTCAACCACTAAGTTCTTATACTGCCACCTTGCTCACGGGAGGAAACCTCCCAGGACTGTGTGGGACGGTAGCAGCTCCAGAAGAACCAGTCATTCCAAGTCCATCCAGAACGAGGAGCCGAGGAGGCAGAGAAAACATCAGTGAGCAGTTCACTTCAGATTAAGAGCATAGAAACAGAATCTGCAGGATAAAGGAACTTCATGAATGTCCATTTTTTACTACTTGGCTGTTTCTGTAGGTGCTGAGTCAGCCTTGATAGTTCCTTCAATTCACTCATTTCTCACATTCATCCAGTATAACACTGATCTTGCTAGTCATATTTTCTTTTCTCTGAATTTCTGCCTGATGATTAGTACTATTCTGATGTTGAAGTAGTCTGGTTATACCCTACTCTAAGTAAAGAGACATTAGCTGGTACTTCTTCAATCATTTCAATGTTACTCTGCTGAGAGTTTTCACTGGAATAGAAGACAAGCATTCCTCTAAGTTATATGGGAGGTGTGTTTGTGTGTGTGTGTGTACACGCACATGCGCACACACACACATCCTCCCCTATCCATCCTATGTAATACTGGCACACAGGTGGCACTGGCCTCAGGCAGAATTAGTATCTAACAGAGCGTAAGGCAAAACTGAAGCAGAGGACAAGGACCTAGACAACCAGACTTATTAATTTCTAGTTTCTTGAAATTTCAAATATAAGGGAATGGTAATCCATAGGCCAGAGAGAGAAAGAGAATAAGAAAATAAAGGACAACTGAAAGCACTGTCTTGAAAAGTTCATCAAGGAAACCAGGATGACAAATGATGGTGAGTAGCAGTAACTCAGTGAACTAGGTGTAGGTAACCATGATGTTCGTGGTGAAGGTAGGCCAAAGGGTGGTAGAGAAAGGATGTTACAGAGAAGGAATTTATGATCCCAAAGACGGACCTCTGTAAATTAAGATTTTATGACTGATTTTTAAAAACATCAACCATAAAATAATTATTCAGTGCTGTTCCTGTTCAGAATAGTCACAGTGTGAAGTTACATAACTTCTCTTGGAGTTTCCAGCAAAACTTATATCCTATTTTTAATGGAATCAATTTCCATTATGAAAGATGAATTTGAAAATAGCCAGTTACTTGATTCCAAATCTGGTGAATAAGTGGGTAAGCAAACAGTCAAAAACGAGATGTGACCCAAGACTAATATAGTTTTCCTGTATGGTTTATCAAACGGGAATACCTGAAGGAATGCTTATTGCAGTAATAACACTATCAAAATAGTTACAACCGCCCAACTGGAAGGACAACCCATGTGGACATGTAAGCTCTGATAATACTTTAAACCAGCCTCCAAGATGAAATGCCATCCTGGTGATGATGAGTTTTACATGGCCTTTGTGGATAGAGATGGAATGTGCACCCAAACTGAGAAAAACAAGCGACTGTGAAGCGAGATACTCGAAAGACCACTACTGGGATGTATAAGTGCATGGCAAGAAGCAGACGAACATGTGAGGTACTGGCTGCCTGAAGAAGGGTGTCCAGGGTGACCACAGGAGTGACCAACTATCTAGTCAGGAACCTGCAAGAGCAGTCCTGAGATGGGCGAAACGGATGAGTGCACATTCTGTGTAGGATTTTTGTGCCTTCCTCAAGCCCATCTCCTCCCACCTGACACCATAACTAGGATGGTGTAAAACACCCATCTGTACACAGCGTGCAGTGGGGAGACGGAAAGGAGATGCAGACGTCACAAGGAACAACCATCCAAGCTCAAGGACAGCTGGGCTGCCTGCACTCACCTTTCTCTGCACAGTCATCACTAATGCATTACTTCCTTGGCTGACTCGGGGCCCGGTATCGGGGTGGAGAAGGACACGTATGGTGTTCTACGACTCAGTGGAGTCAGAGAAGGAGACATATGAAGAAAAACGCTGGAGTGCTGTTAAAAATATAGCGTTCTGAGTTTGCGTGGGAATATGAATTTCCACCGACTACCAGAAACATTAGAAGAAAATGCACACTTAAGCATGAATACCTGTCTGTAAAAATTTCCCTAGAACTAGGAATACAAATCTAAGTCTCACACAGAGGCTGCTTCAGACTCTAAAGCAGCTTCCTAGGTAGATAAGGAGCACACATGCCCCTCCAGGGGAATACCCAGGGAGGGGATCACAGGGGTGGAGGAAGCAGAGGAGCCAGAGCAGCCTCGCTTGAATCTACAGCTACTCACCCAGAAGACAAAATTAGGTACCTCAAGCCACAAGCTTCTTTAAGCGGATGCTCTTCAAGCTTCTAAGGGGTACACTGGGCCATCAGACACCTCCGAGGACAGTCAAGCTAATCAACCTGTCTCGAGGCACTGGGCCTGAACTACTCGAGCTATTCTAACTGCCACCACTATCGATTCTGACCCTGCATCAGGTCACGACGACAAACTTTCTGGCCTTTTACTGCACTGAAAGACCTCTCACCAGCATGTGGTTCCTCTAATGTTGAACACCACCCAACTATGACTCAAGTTTCCCCCTAACCTCCTATGATTCAGATTTTTCTCCACTGTGGATTCTCTGATGTCGAATGAGACTCGACCTCTGAATAAAGGCTTTCCCACACTCATTACACTGATAGGGCTTCTCCCCCGTGTGAATTCTCAGATGCTGAATGAGGCCAGTGTTCCCATTGAAAGCCTTCCCACATTCTTTGCATTTATAGGGTCTTTCTCCAGTGTGGATTCTCTGGTGCTCAATAAGGCCTGACTTTTGACTGAAGGCCCTCCCACATTCATTGCATTTGTAGGGCTTCTCCCCAGTGTGGCTTCTCTGATGGCCAATAAGATGTGAGCTCCGCCTGAAGGTTTTCCCACACTCATCACACTCATAGGGTTTCTCCCCCGTGTGGATTCTCTGATGTCCAATGAGGTGTGAGCTATGACTGAAGGCTTTCCCACACTCATTACATTCATAGGGTCTCTCCCCACTGTGGATTCTCTGGTGCAGAATGAGGCCCGCACTCTGACTAAAAGCCTTCCCACACTGGTTGCACTGATACGGCTTCTCCCCAGTGTGGATTCTCTGGTGCAGAATCAGGCCTGTGTTTTGACTGAAGGCTTTGCCACACTCCTTACAGTGATAGCGTTTTACTTTGTTGTGGATATCCTGATGGGAAAGAAGGGCTGATCTGTAACTGAAGGCCTTCCCACACACATTACATTGATAAGGTTTCTCCCCAGTGTGGATTCTCCAGTGGCGAACAAGGCCTGAGCTCTGAGCAAAGCTCTTCCCACATTCATCACATTTATGTCGTCTCTCCTGGGAGGGATTTCCCCGCTGCCTCTCTAATCTGCCCAGAAGATCTTGGGCTTCTCCATGCTCAAGACCCCCGATAACATCCCTGTTGCATTTGGCAGCTGTCTCTCCATGTAGTTGGGCTCCGGTAGATATTACCTGTTTTGAAGCTAATTCCCTGTTCTCATTCCTGGTTTCACCACCTGAAATAAAAATGTAATAAATAAACATCAAGCCAATGTCACTTCCTATTCTTTCTGTTAGGACAAAAGAATCAAAGATAGTGCAAAAGGAAAATAAACACAGAACAACTACAAGAAATGAAAAGCTTCCACCTGTCTCCAAAATGCCTTCATAACATGAGGAGATGGAAGCAAATCAAACCCAAGTAACACCGGCTAACTGGGGAAGAATTTCCATGAGAGGAGGGTATTGGAAGGGAGACTAAAGCAGGGAAGGGATTAGCTGAAGGGAAGTGGAAGTCGGGGAGTGGGAAGGAATATGAAACCACTTAAAGATCTAACAAGTGGGGCAGAAATGGAAAAAAGCCCCAGAGAGTCATTAAAAGGAAGGAGCATAATAGGCCTAAGTGAGAGAAATCTATATAAACTTCTTATGGGAACTGAGGACAGAAGAAATGAGTAAACTCAGAAAGCACTAAAAGAGTAAGCTAACTAAGTCCTGGATCGGAGAATAAAGTTCAAGAAGTCTCAACATGATATTTCTCTGTTGGATCCTGAATTTAAACTCAACTATGTCTTTTAGAAAGCTCACAATTAGGTACACATAAAAAAACAAACAAGCAAACAAATGAACAAACAAAAAACCTTAACTATAATAATAACCAGAGCACTCCTCACCCAGGGAGAACATGCTTCTATAACTCTCTGGCCTGTCATCTCTCCTCAGATCCTTCTGTGATGGATCAAGAAGCCATTCCTCTCGAATCAGGGACACAGCCATGTCTTCGATCTTCTCCAAAGTCTGAAACAAAACAAGCTCCCATTTGAGGACTAGATTGTTCCACAGCTCAAACCCAGAGTGCCAGATATCCACCAGGGTTGGACAGGGTCAAGAGCTGAGGATGTGGTATGTAAACGAATCTGAACAGCTAGGAATAGAAAAACATACCAAGTCAAGTATCAACCTGCCTCTATTCAAAAGAATTTGGGATAAGTTCTTGGATGTGCATTGCTACAGGCAGTCCACACACAGCCTGGATGCCACAAACACGAACAAGGCCAGCAATGGGACTTCAGTGAAAAGGAGCATGACTCACCTGGAACCCTGCTGTCAGAAGTGACGCTGTCATCTGGTTTCCAGGACTTTCTTCCTGGGAAGGGGTGGGACTGTGAGAAGCAGATACGGCTGAGGAGGAGAAAGAAGCTATGAATGAGGCCAGCCTTGTGCTGTGCCTGATGGAGCCAGCAGTAACCCATTCTAAAATTATCTGTATTTCAGCAGAAATGCATGCCAGAGATTTTATTATAAAATGCTGATAGCTTGGCTCTGGGCCCACACCTATGGCTGTCCATAAAACATCCGCACTTTAATGTCTCTCTCAGCTAGAAGTTACACATCAAACATACAAAATGCATGGTTTCCTAATAGGAACTGCTTTGCAATTTCTCCTCTGACCAAAGCTATATTCTATCCTTGCGCTTGTTACAGGAGCTCTTTAGGTCCTGGTTTCCTGGCAATCTCTCTCTCAACTTACTGTTACTTTCTGAAATGTCTACCCAACTGCTAGTATCTGCTTCCTACAGATACCAGACAGCACAATACGAAATCAGCAACAGGTCTCAGAACATCAGACAAGAATTATATTAATAACTGAAAACGTTTCTATGTTTCTTCTCTAGAAATATTAAAAACTCACTTATATAGAACAAACTACTATAAACCATATAAGTAAAAACGTAAAAATGCAGGGCAAGTATGAGACTGGAATGCCCTATTCTGTAAGGAAGCAAGTTCTCAAAAAATGATTGGAAATGTCAAAAGGACATAGGAGACAGACTGAAGGGGCCTCCTCTGGCAAATCTAAGACAATTTAAGGATCAAAATAAAGATACTAACAGAATATTCATGGAATAAAATAAGAATTTATGAGTCCATACAGATTAAAAAAAAAAAACCAGAAAGAAGGGAACAGTCTCCATTACAATAAACAAATAAATACAGAAGGAATAACAGAGTTAGAAAATTATCATTTTGTAACTGTCTTAGTAATCCTTGATTTAGTCAAGAAGCACCAAGTAATACTCAAAGTAGTATTTTAGCAACAATAGTAATGAGGAGGACCAGGCTATTTATGCAGACTCAAGATTATCTACCCACAAATTACTTATTAATTACAAAGAAAAACAGTAACTTTATAGCCAATTAACCCAGCAAGAATAACCTTAACCAAATCATCAAAATTACCATCAGCAATAACAGGACAAATTCCTGCTGCATTCCTGAGAAGGACACAACCTCACTTCTGGGGTGTTCCTGCCAAATAGATGAAAAGCTGAATAACTAAAGTGTTGTCTTGGACTGGACTCTGGATGAACTCTATTGGAACCACTGGCAAAATATGAATGTGAACTGTGAACAAGATGAGTATTGTATCGGTGATACATCTGATTGTTTGAGGAAATACATACTGAAATATTTACAAATAAAGTGGCATGATGATACCAGCAAAAACCTCAAAAACACCTTTTTGGAAATACACTGGAGTAACAGAAATGTATGAATACATAAAAATCCCCAAATTCTTTAATTTGATCATGAGTTTAGCATTGGGAGTAACTGGTAAAGCCTAGATAAACATTTACACTACACCTACGAATGGTCTGTAAAGAGTAGTTCCCCAGGAACAAGACAGGATTCCTTCCTACTGCCTCCTTGTCAGTGAAATTCAGCTCCTCACCTCTGTCTCGGAGCCCGTGAAGCACGGGAGCTGTGTGCCCGGTTGCCAGAGGCTGGAGCTGAGCTTCTGGAGGCTCTGGTGCAGGTTCCGAGTGCACCACCTCCTCCCAAAGGACCCTGTGTCCATGTGCACGAGCCGGGACCTGAACACAACGGGCAGTTGGGTTACAAGCAATCCCTCTGAGAAACCAGGTGAAGGGTGTAAGAAGACCCAGAGCACATTCACAGGGCACATGCTGGGCAGGGAAGCAGTAGACCTCACTGACTTCCTCCGTCAGCAAGGAGCACAAACACACTGATTAGCACAGAAACCAAAGGAAAAGATCTGCTGATGCCCTCCCTGTATCCAACACATACTTTGCACTCTCAAGGCCAGGGGAGAACAACCAACAAGAACAGAACAGAGCTATTCAGGGGGAAAAAACCTTCTGAGGAATCAGGAAATCTGAGTTCCGGTCTCAGATCTACCTTTAATGTTTGGGTGCCCCTGAAAAGGTAATTTAACCTCTCTATGCATCCGACAAACAGGAGCAGTAACAGTGTAGGACTGCGATGAGGACAAAAATGGGTTTATTCCTTAAAAAAAGGACTCTCCAAGTATAAGCCATGCCACACTATGACTGCTCTCATCCTCCAGGAGCAGAAACGTATGCCAGCATTTATGCACCCCTGCCCCTCCACCCAGCCCCCAGGGTGCCCAGTCACAACACACACACCTCCTGCTACTTACTGGCCGTCCTAGTATATCAATCTGCCTCTCCAGGTCCTCCAACAGGGTCACCACCTCCTCCCCACTCTCCAGCTGATGTTCTTTCACCAGGGCCTGCAGCTCCGCGGGCAGGATGCCCAGAAACTGCTCCAACACCAGCAGCTCCAGGATCTGCTCCTTGCTGTTCAAATCTGGCCTCAGCCACTGGTGGCAAAGTGCCCGGAGTTGGATCAGAGCTTCTCGGGGTCCTCGTGTCTCCTGATAGCACAGCTTTCTGAATCGCAGGCGAAACAGCTCTTGGCCAGGAGGGTTTTGTTCATATCGACTGGATTCCTGGTCCCAACCATGATCTTCCTCGACCTTGACAATTACAAGGTCCTCTTCAGGAGCCTGGTTGGGTGGGGATGGGGCTAAAGACTTTCTTGACTCTGCAGCCATGTAGGGCTGGAAAAGTTCAGGAGACTTGTTTCCACTACCTTCTTTATCTTAAGAGAAGAATCTTCTGAGGTCCTGTTCTTTAAAGGGACTTCTTTAGAAATATAAGTTTGGGAACTGAAAATAAAACAAAACAAGAAAAATATTTTCCAGGCTTATATCATCAAGAAAAGGTAGGGGAAGCAAACACTGTGCTTTGCAGTATCTCAGACTCCACAGGCTGAATGCTTTGGCATCCACATTTTACACTTAACCACAATGGAAATTCAAAGTATGTTTGCATTTGCTAAAACAGTGATTACTGCACAAATATGCATAACTAACCAAACAACAGAAATCTGGGTTGTGGCGGTGGAGGCAGGGGACAAGTTACTCTTGAGGGACCGGAGCTGTGGAAAAGGGGCACCTGCTTCAGTGAGTTCTTCTACTAAAGGGAGGAATTCTGAACAAGGCTGAACTCTACACTGCCTCGAAGTTGTAAAAAGTGTTTCTTCTTGTACAATTATCCAGACAACACCACCATTTTCTGAATACAATACAAAGAGCAGAATAGCTTAACACTGAAAACAGGTTTCCATAGATAACTGGGGCTTCCCAAAGCAAAATATATCTTTTTGTAAAACGCGAATTTTATTGTGATGGAAATGCAAAATTGTTGCGTAAAAGCAATTCACTTGGTGGAAAAACAACTGTAAAAAGACAATGTGGGGGCCGTTTCCTATTGTAGGACAAATAAGCTCGACTGCAAATTACACCACTAATCTATGAGCGATGAAGAAAACGAGCACTCCTGAAAGGTTACCCCGCAAGAAACTTGGGGACGCGGACAGGGCTGGGGACTGTCCCCACAGCCCGGGCGCCACCTCGGCCCGGCCCCACTAGGACACTCAGGCCCGTCTCCAGCGGCGGCCGGTCAGGCCACAAAGCGCCCCTCAGGCCCGGGGCGAAAAGTACTCACCGCGAGTC